AGCATCTAAACCTGCCTACGATACCAAATGGATATCATTAAATTCTTAGCATTTTCCTTTTTTCAAATATATTTTTTATACTTACCAATAATTGGCCGCACTAGCGATTTTATCTACTGAAAAATTGCCTTTTTGAACTTCACATCATTCAGCAAAAGATGTCAAAATAAATATTAATTTTAACATAATTTAAATGGAATTACAGGTACAATTGCATTCTTATTATTTTTACGTATGTTAAAATATTTGTTGAGTTGTTTATGATAAATATTTATTTTAAAATTTGGGATTTTATGTTCCCTGAAATATCATGACTCCAATTGGCATTAACGGGGTTAGATGAACGCAGCTCAACTCGTCTTGATGATTGCACGCGTTGTGTTTGAGTTTATATTCGTTTGAAGTTCGTATTGGTTCTTCTCTATTATATTTTGCAATTTTAAAATAATATTTAAAACTAATTATCAACGAAATTTTAAATTAATATTTAAAACTAAATATCAGTATCTGATGTCAGATATGACGGAATTGCCCATTGACCTCTTCACACAGATGCAGAAAGAAGATGCAAATTATGCATTCAATCCTATTTCAAGAGTAATGTGCGAAAAATGCGATGTTTTATTATGTCTTAATAACAAGAATAACTGTTTTAAAGTTTACCATGTAAAATAAAATTAGTTTAATTACTATCTTATTTTTTACTTATGAAAGAGGAAAATGGGTTTACTACTATCAATAAATGTATATTTAGCTACTATATTTTATAAATGCCAATCTTTGTGAAATATTTCAATCACTTATTGTGTTGCATTAACTCCCAATGATTCCAAATGGCATCATAGCATATTTAACTTCGGTAAACCTGGTGTTTACGGTACACACTTGTTACTCGCCAATTTTTCTTGGCGCAATTTCATTTGCCGTCGCCAAATACTGTTTTGGATGTGCAGTGCGATTTTTATTGCTCTCTTGCGCATGCGTCACCTGAAAAGGAGAGATTGAGCACGCAATGCCTGCGGCATTTCAAACGTGTACCGGGCAAATTTTTTGAACTTAAAAAACATCAGCGGCTTCGCTTTCAGCATAGCAGGAGACTAGTAGCTTCGCTTTTTCATTGAATGTTAGGAATCTAGGTTTTTAAAAAAAATTCCGAAAACTCGAATTTCCGCACGCAATGCCTGCGGCATTTCAAGCGTGTACCGGGCAAAAAATTTTTAATTTAAAAAACATCAGCGGCTTCGATTTCAGCACAGCGGAATACTCGTAGCTTCGCTTATTCATTGAGAAACGAAACACACAGAATAACATACACGGTACTGAACCGATATTCAATCCGAACAATTCCAAACGAAGTTTTATTCAAATTGGAATTAATCGACCAATCACATCGAAGAGTTGAACAAAACAGTCCAATCGAAAAATGGCGTAATATAGCCTGATACGTAAAACACCGATGAAAAGATCAATTTGTGCGCATGCGCTCTTGTCACTCGTTAAAAACATCTAGACGCATCCAAAACAATTGTTCTCTCATCGCCGTTCTTGGTGGCAAAGAGTTGGCGATGCTAAAAGGAACGAAGTAAGTGTATACTGTAAACTCCAGGTTAACCTTAACTTCTGCGCTACTGAACTCCCAATGATACCAATTGGAATCACTTTGAATTCTAATTAAAAAAATTAAAGGCTTAAATCTTAGGCCCAAAATGAGAACATTTCACACATTTCAGAATGAATAATAAGGGTCTTGGGACTAAAATGGTTAAAGAATTAGAATTAATTAATGCAATCCCTTAACAAATATTAAGACAAATTGTAATTAGTTTGAGTTTTAATTGTAATTAACATTTTTTCCGACGACCTTGCAACTCCATAAGGAATTCTAAGCACAATTTTTGAGATGTACATTTGCATTCATCTTGTAAAATCACGAACTTCTAATCCTTCAAATAGTACAATCTGCTCACAGAAATTGTTTTCGTTACGAATCACGAATTCATCATTCCTTGACAAGAATTACTCAAGAGTTTAATTATTGACAGTGATAGTAACAATAATTCTCATTAAAAAAATTCCCCTTTGTAAAAATATCTGTACTGCTTTCAGTTGATGCCGATGCTCAATTGTTTAAATTGTTCTTGGCAATTCTATATATCCTTAGATGACTTTTGACACTTTGAATTCTAATTAAAAAAAATTAAAGGCTTAAATGGCTTAAATCTTAGGCCCAAAATGAGAACATTTCACCCATTTCAGAATTTTAGAATGAATAATAAGGGTCTTGGGACTAAAATGGTTAAGGAATTAGAATTAATTAATGCAATCCGTTAACAAATATTAAGACAAATTGTAATTATTTTAAGTTTTAATTGTAATTAACATTTTTTCCGACGACCTTGCAACTCCATAAGGAATTCTAAGCACAATTTTTGAGATCTACATTTGCATTCATCTTGTAAAATCACGAACTTCTAATCCTTCAAATAGTACAATCTCCTCACAGAAATTGTTTTCGTTACGAATCACGAATTCATCATTCCTTGACAAGAATTACTCAAGAGTTTAATTATTGACAGTGATAGTAACAATAATTCTCATTAAAAAAATTCCCCTTTGTAAAAATATCTGTACTGCTTTCAGTTGATGCCGATGCTCAATTGTTTAAATTGTTCTTGGCAATTCTATATATCCTTAGATGACTTTTGACTTATAATCACAATGCTGCATTACGCAGTGAATGACACATCACGTTTCTTGATGCAAGGTTAAGTTGGGGTCAAACATGACACGAGTTAATGCCTTGATGTTAGGAACTGCATAATTTGCTGTTTCGAAATTTCGAGGAACACGGAAGTTGGTTCTAATGAAGATCTCTCTTAGGGCATGCGGGTTTTCTGCCATACTGACATGACAGGTAGTAATCCACCAAGATAGAGACATAACAAACACCCATATACCTTCTCCTATTAACAAAGAGAATATTTAAGATGATAGGCATGTTTTTCTGCAACACGATGGTTCTTCTCTATTCTCAAATTTCTCTTGGCGTGGCTGAAAAGAAAAACATAATAAAGAGTATTGGTTAGCCTTATGGCCATCTGTTTGCAATTACGTAACGCATCTCTGAATGCATAACTGGCTACCTCTGTAACACGGTAAAGCAGTCAAAGATAATTGCCTTACTTGTAGAAGGGAATTAAAGAGTATATTCAGTTCTCGCATTATTTTTTATTTGCTCATATTTGGGCGTGAAAAACGTATTTACAAAATAAAAATTTAACATTTAAAGACGGTCATTGCTATGAACTATTTAGAATCCTCACTTCATTTTTTTTGTCCCCAAAACCGCGTTCATTTATGTGGGAAAGTAAAATCCAATAAAATATAACACATTCTGTAATATTTTACTGAATTTTATTTTCTTTAATAAATGAAAATTATGATTCAATATATAATTGTTTCACGTTGAATATCATTAATGTTAATAAAAACGTGATCGGTGAACAAAGTTTTTAAATAATAATCGTATGAATATGTAAAAAAGTAATCGAATAAATATTTATTTGGGGTAATCATTTTATACAGATTTACTGTAGAATGTTAGAGAAATTTTATATTGACCTATACGCCATTGTTTACTAAATAGTGTACAATATATTGATACCTTTCGAGATAATGGAACTATTAATAGTAAATTATTTTAACCCTTTGCGAATGTATGTGGTGGTGATTCTAATCTCCATTCTTATTGAATGTCGACAATTTAATCATCAACGCATCTGTTGCTTCCACTCTTCCTGTACCACTCTTAAAGACATCCTTCACAAACATCCCCATCCACAACTTTTTACTTTTTTAAAAAAATGATTTATTTTTACTCTTTGAACTGGAATTTTTACCCTGTTTTAAGGTCATATTTTCCCTGTTGTGAGTTTTTTGCAGACTTTACAAATTGACACTTCATAACGTATGATAGACGTCTTTTAACTGCACTCCTAAACTAAGATTTTATCTTACACCATATGTTTGGCGCAGCATAATCAAAAATGGCTTTTTCGCCAGTAAACTCCATCAAACCAAACCAATCTAACCTCCCTTTGTCCAGAGAATCTATCCAAGTTCATGAGTCGTGATAAAGGGGAAGCGTGACATCTTTTGTTGGGCAAAACGGCCTGGATCACCTAGATAACATCTGTGATAATAACCTGACTTAGCTACTATACGGTGAGGGGGGTGGGGTAGTTTGACTTCCAGCATGACTTTTAGGGGAAGCTGGTGCTTCGTTTATGCATTTTATTAGTACCCCGACAGGATATTGTTAAATTCGTTATTTAGTGAATATTTGAAAATATTGTGAGTTTTATAATATTTTAATTGTGAGAATGGTCCCTTCAAAAATTTCGTAAAAAAATTTACACTTTTACGTAAGTGTGTATTAAAATAATTATAAATTTCTCATTTCTTACTTTTCAAATTAAAAATCTAGAAACGTAATGCAAATTATGTCGCGTTATCATTAATAACTTACAGGAAAAATAGATTTTAATTTATTGAAATGGTGTTGCAGAAACTTATCAAGATAAACAATCTAGTAAACGACGCAAATAAATCTATATTTATTATTACGAAATATTTTCCTCAGTTGTATAGCATAATGAGCATGTCACATCAAATAATCTGTGTCGAACATGTTATCTGAATGGAATAAAAAATCCTCCAAAACTTGAAATTCTACTATACATTCTAAGAGTATGCAGTTGTTGGAATATCTCTACTACAGAAGAAACGGAAGAGTTAACAATCTCATGATATTCTCTGGTTTATCAATTCTGATCACTTAACGAGAATGGCACGGGCCTGGTACAAATGCATTAGTGATATCGATAGAGATAAAAGCAGTAACATTTGTTTACACAACTGTTCCATATATGAATAGTGTCTGGCGCCTCTACTTCACACGCAAAATGCATTAATCTCTTTTCAGTGCTAATATAAGCAACGGGGGCGTAGCTCAGATGGTAGAGCGCTCGCTTAGCATGCGAGAGGTACCGGGATCGATACCCGGCGCCGGACCCGAATTAAATAACCCACAGTCGGCACCGTCGGGATAACAAAAAATGACAGGTAAAAATGAAAGTGATAATATTTTTTATTCAAAAAATAGAAATAAAAAAACGATAACTTATTATTGAGGATGGCGATAGTGATACGGAATGTGAAAATGATATAAAATAAAAAGGGATATTGCATTTATTAAAATTGGCAAAGAAAATGAAAATGAAATTTGTGAATAACCTGAAAGTGAAATTCAGCGTTGTTAAATTAAAATGTAAAACTATGTGAAAGGATTGAAGAATAAGGTTAGTTTAGTTATCTTAACATACCATTTTGAAGCAACACAAGGGCTGCTTTGCGACGGACCCCGTTAGTTTGAATTGTGGTCAGATGACGTTGATGTCCAAACTTCCGCGCCACACCAGCAGAAGGACTTTTGATCCTCGATTTCAGGATTAAAAAGCACCGGAATGAAGGATAACCATAAGAGAGTAACTTCGAAAAAGTTGTTTTTGTAGTAACTTATTGTTAGTCTCCAAGAATTTAAAAGAAAGTGTCCCATATGATTTGTTTGACGGGGTCTGATGATAATTATTTTAGCGACAATTTATGAAACAAGTAAATATGTTTGAGAGATAATAGTTGGGAAATGTACTATATTTGAAATAAATTGCCTTCCATTTTAAGAATGGTTTCTTGTTTTAATGAGCATTACACACAAGGTATTTAATTAATTTCTCTTGAGAAAAATGTTCTCCTGAGCCAACTAAACTCACACATTGTCATCATCTTATATGTATGGAAAACAATAACAAGATGAGAAATCAAAGCTGTAAACATTTTTTTTCTGCTAAAAGTATTTAATATAAACAATAATAACAAAATAGATCCGTGTCTGGGTATCGTATCGAAGAAAAGTATTTCTTCTCGATTGGATTAATATGAGATATAAGAAGGTATGCTATCGATATGCTTAAAAAATTACCGCATTTTCCAAGTTAGCCCATATACAAACTGAAAACTTAAATATTCTTTTATTTAACTCCTTAAATCCTATTGGCATTATAAGTTTACCCAAAATAATTACAACATAATCCTGCAATCAGATGTTCTTCAATTAATTTTGTTCAAAATTTTCCGTTCAGTGGCATAACTTTTCTAAATAAATTTCCTTATTTTGTCTTACTGGAGTGTTTTGATCAATTTGCGTTACTGACAAAGTAAGTAATATTGACTATGAACTCCAGGAATCTGATAGAATTTATTACCCCAGCGTTTTTAAGGACAAAGGACATTTTTTTGAACTCTGAGGGGAAAAAATTAATGTTTAACCAATTCAATGCTACGCAGAAGGTCTTTCGTTCGCCAGGAATATATTCTAAAAGTTGACAAACGAGTTATGGCTGTTTGATCAGTGGCGTGGCGAGGGTAAGTGGCACCCGGGTCATAACCTGATTTTCTCGCCCCCGCTCCCCGGTCATCATCAGTAACTTAGCTTGTGTAAACGGCGCTCAGTATTTTTTCGTCTCCCCCCATCGTATACAACTATATTAAATGACATAAACACGTTAACTTTTGTAATCACGAACAATGGCGTAACGAGGGTAAGTGGCACCCGGGTCATAATTTCATTTTCTAGGCCCCCCCCCATCATCATCAGTGACTTAGCTTGTGTGAGCGGCGCTCAGGGCATGGTATTTTTTCGTCCCCCTCATCGTATTCAACTATTTTAAGTGACAAAAATACATTAACTTTTGTAATCATGGCCAGTGGCGTAACGAGGGTCATAAC